GCGAAGCTGGCGCACCATCTGCCGCCGGACCCGACACCACCTTCCGGCGCAGCGGCAGCGCGGCTGCTGACGGTCTGTGACGACACTGGCCGGCGGCGGGACGACGATGCGGTTCCATGAGGCGCCCAGAAGCTGGACTGAGCTCCGTCGCGACCGATCCCTGCTCCGGTCTGGCGGTTCTTAGGCGTTCCACTCGGCGGCTGGCTTGTGCACCGCAGTTTGTGTCGCACTGGAGCAAGGTCCGCACGGGTTTCTGTGATGGGAACCGAGACGAAGTGCTTTGGTTTCTGCGGCGGGCCAAGCGGCGTTTCCAAGACAACCTGGTGCTGCAAACACTCCTCATGTGTGACCAAGCGCGCATGTGCGACAAGAGCAATGTGTCCTGAACATGTTGTACGATTATCCGTTGTCTCACGTAATTTTGACTTGCTTGCAGCATTTAGCAACCAAAAGGCCTTTTCTGACTCCACGAACTGAATGGCACGTCTTCTTTTCAGTACTTCGGAACATGGGCGACTCCTCGCTGCCGTGCGATGTTGCAACACATGCGCTGCCATGTGTCAGGGTGACCTTCTGTGGCCGGTTGCCACCTGACTTCTGCGTATTAGTCATACCGAACAAAGCTCACCTCCCGGGAGTTGGAGTCATTCCCGTCGAGTTACAGTTCCTGCCTCCATCGGCCCGGCTGTGGCGGCGGGCGCCCTGGCAGGCTGCCACGCCGCCTGCCGCCGTTCAGCCGTGGCGCCCCCCGAACTCGTCGGCGCCCCGGGGCAGGCCGGTGTGGTATTCCCAACACCGCCGGCGGGCTTTCCAGCCCGGCTCCGGGAGGCGGCCGCCGTGTATGCCGCCGACGCTCTAGAGCCGGCGCCATGTTTATGCGCGTGCGGCGTCAGATGCCGGCGGTGCGATTCGCCGTCACGTGCGGCATTGATCGGCCAGCGGCGGCCGCTGCTGGCCGCGGACCGCCGCCGACCCGGTGGGTCCTGCCGGGTCCGCCGGGTCCCACCGGGTCCCTTCGGATCTCGCAGGGTCCCACCGGGTCCCCCCGGGTTCCGTCGGATCTCGCAGGGTCCCACCGGGTCCCACCGGATCCCGCCGGATCTCGCAAGGCCCCACCGGGTCCCGCCGGGTCCCACCGCCAACCGCGGGTCCTACGGGCTCGAATCAGCCGGATCCTCCAGAGGCGACCGCCCCCCATGCGCGGCTGCTGGACTGCCCCGGGGTCGTCCTTGGCAGTAGCTCTAGCGAGGTCCGGTTATGGTTTCGCCTCTTCTCCAGTACACAGCCGCGGTCGTGCCTTGTACACTGCTGACGAATGATGCAAAGAGGCCGTGTGCCAGTGCAGTTATCGAGTGGTGTAAGCTTTATTGCGGCTTGCGGAGGCCTCATGCGTAGACAAATTCACCCTCCGACACCTCTCTAGTAAATCAGCCTGCTGCAAGCCTCCGGCACATAAGCCGGTACTTTTTCCGAAGTGGGTGGACAGGTGCCAGGGACGCAACAGAGCCCAGTGAGCTTAAGCCCCCCCCCCCCCCTCTTCAATCTTCGGCCGGTGGAGACCGTATCTTCGCCGGCCGCCGGTAGCCACGGCCATAAGTGGAGCCTCATAAATTCCTTGCGGGAGCTGAAGACCAGATTTCCGGGAGAGTCTCGCGGCGCTGCTATTTTTAGCGGGTTTTTTTGTCGCAAATATACGATGGCTTTGGTCAAATTTTGAGATGGCCAAGTATTGAGTCTTGGGGGGGGGGGGGGGAAGAGGCCCATCCGAAGAAATACGTGGGCCTGCCGAGGGCCTTTCAGCCTGTCTTAACCAGCGGTACCGTCCCCTCCCCCCCCCCCCGTCACCACCAGCGGGACCGGCTCCCTTCCCTGTCTTCACCAGCGGGACCGGCTTCCCTCCCTGTCCTCACCAGCGGGGACCGGCTGCCCTCCTTGTCCTCACCAGCGGGGACCGGCTGCCCTCCCCGTCCTCATCAGCGGGACCGGCTCTCCTCCCCGTCCTCATCAGCGGGACCGGCTCTCCTCCCCGTCCTCACCAGCGGGACCGGCTCTCCTCCCCGTCCTCATCAGCGGGACCGGCTCTCCTCCCCGTCCTCATCAGCGGGACCGGCTCTCCTCCCCGTCCTCATCAGCGGGACCGGCTCTCCTCCCCGTCCTCATCAGCGGGCGGGGAGTGCTCGGTCCGCCCGGTGACTGTGTCCAGAGCGGACCGGGCCGGACCCCGGCCGGCGGCACGTGGTCCGACGGTCCGCCTATCTGCGATGTGGGCATGAACTCCGGGAAGGGCTGGCCACCGGTAGCGGCCCGAAGCACGCGCCCCGCGGCCGGCCGCAGCCCCGCCGCGGCCCGCACCGCAGCACCGGCACGAAGGCTTCCGTGCGATGAGCGGCCGCAGCGGCGGACGGCGAAGCCTCAGCCGTTGCCGGGGTGGCTGCTCAGGGTGCGCCAGAGGATGTTCTCACTTGAAGTTCTTCTGATTTCGTCCGATCTTTTGGATGGCCGTGCCAGCGGTGTCCGGGTCAGATGTTAAGTGTGGATGCGCCGACTGTTGGCTTGATTCAGGTGACACCGCTCCTTATACTGATAGATGTCCTGTAGTACCGGTGGTATCGTGCCGGTCAGGCTCAGGCCGCATCACTGATATCTCGAGCCGTCGCTTATATCATTCCGTTACACTATCGTGCCAGTGAGGTTTGTTGTTGATGTGGTTAGAAGCTTTCTGATTCTCCCGTTTTCACCTCGTTGTGCCGAGAACTTCCCTTTCTCATGCAGGCACGCGCAGTTGAGCATAAGGATTTTCCAACACAGACGCCTCGTCGCGCCCCAAGAGAATATTGCGGACCGTGAGTGGCTATTTTAAAGTTCGGTTTAAAGAGCACTGTCGGCTCGTGGAGGAGCGTGCTAGAGACCGGTGGGCGGGCTCGGTAGGCCGGCGTACCGGACTCGGCGAGGAGTGTGCGGGGACCGGTGGGCGGGCTCGCTGGGCCGGCGTTCCGGACTCGGCGAGGAGTGTGCGGAGACCGGTGGGCGGGCTCGCTGGGCCGGCGTACCGGACCCCGCGAGGGGTGTGCGAAAGACCAGTGGGCCGGCGCACCGAGCGCGCCTGCGGCGGCGTCCCGTCACCTTGGCGTGACGGTAGGGTGTGTGGGGGAGGGAGGGAGGGAGGGAGGGAGGGAGGCCCGCAGCCGGGCTGAGCTGAACTGGGCTGGGTCAGCGGACGTCGCCGGCTCCGCGCCGGGCCGACACCGACTGCGGCTGTTCAGCCAACAGACGTCGGAACTCCCCGGGCGCGGCTGGGAGGTGGCGTGTGTATTGCGGAGATGGGGGACACACTGGGGTAAGTCCGGCTGCGTGACGCCGCGGCGTGTTTGGCCGCGGGGCCGGGCGCTTCTGAAGGGGTCGGACCGTGTGGTCGGCAGCACGCCACTCTGCCAGCCTCGGCAACGGCTGCCGGCGTCCCTCGCTCGCGCCGTTTGGCGCCGGCGGGGCGCTTGCGCCCCGCCTCGGCCCCCATGACGAAACGCTCCCATGCAACAGGATGTGCGGCGCTCGGAGCGGCCGGCGCGGCCCGTGCCGGCGTGCGCCGTCCGCGGCGGGAGGGGCTCCCGCCCGCGTCACGCCGCACCTGCTGCCTCGGCGCGCGTCAGCCCCGCCGGCCGGAGCTTCCCGCCCGGCCGCCGGCCCGTCTCCGTGTGTGCGCCGCCCGGCCGGCCCCGGCGCTAAGCTGTCTGAGCTCGGCTGGGGAGATTCCGGTGGCAGGCCGCCTGAGACAGATCAGATGGGCCCGGCCGGGCGCAGCCGCCGTACATCAAAGGCCGCTGAGCACGCTGAGCCGGGCCGAAGGTGCCGCTCGAAAGCCGGTACTCGAGCGAACAGTGCTGACCGGGCTCTATATTTAGACCTGCCTGACGAAAAAACGTCTGGGCCGTGGCATGCCCGGGTTTTGTCATGCCCGAACTTTGACACGAGGTTGCTCAGAGGGAATTCGTGGATGCACCATGCACATTTGCATCCGGGTTCGGCAGGTAAGCGTCCGTGGATCTACAAAGCCGGCTGGCGGTGGTGCCAGTGTGTGTTTCGTCAGTCATTCCAGGCAGAAAAGTCGGCTGCCGCGTGCCAATTAGATGAAATTGATGTTAACCGGATTTCGGACTAGATGGGAAGAAAACAGGGCGAGGCTATTAAGTTGTTTGGCCTTTGCTCGCACCATGATCTTCCCCAAGATATTAATTCAGCGAAAAGGTCGATGCACGTACAGGTGAGGCACTGTTGCGTCTCGCTCCACGAAGTGAGCCCTCGGCCAAGAGTCATAAATAGCGCCAGCAGGCGAATTTGCTTCTTCACGGGATTGTCTGAGTCATTGGTAAGGATCCGGAAGGCTTGTCAGTCGAACAGGATCGGGTCGGGGCCGAGCCGCGGCCGTCCCATCGGCGATGATCCGTGGCGCCGCTGCATCGGCTGACTTTGGCACGGCGTGCTAACGAAGTCAGCGAACGGGCGCTGGACCGCCGCCAGTGCGGCACACGTGTTATACCTAGCACTGATGGATTGTATCGATTCTGGCAGATGCCCTCCCGTCTGATTACAAGCGCGGCTGCAGGCCCAGCGCATATGTTTTAATTCGCCGCGAAAGTGCAAACAAACGGCCCGGTTGTATTTTACTTCTGAAGACTCGCCAGAGCTCCTGCACAGGCGGATGACGTTCGAGGGATGTCTTTGGGCTGTTTTCGGGCTCGAAGGATGTCTTTGGGCCGAGGAGTGCGGCGGAATGGCCGTCGGGCTGGCAACACAGTCAAACGGAGAGCGTCGCTCGGAGGAACGAGTGTTGTCCCCCAGTCGAAGCCGACAGATGAGCTTGGGTCCTGCCCACCTGGCTATGCGACCTGCAGGGGTGCTCGCGCCGGGGCTGCTGACCTGCCCTGGATTGGTGGGTGTGTCCTCGGTCCCGCCGCCACCGTTGTCGGTTGTCGGTGGTGTGACGCGCCTGTGGTCTGTTGCAGGCGCTTTCAGCCGGCCCATCTACACCCACCTGCTGCAAGCCGTGTACGTCGTCACGCCCGCCTTCTGCACCCATTGTGAGTACCCGGCGCGCAAGCGCCACGCGCCTGCGCTGGCCCGGAGGGGACCTGAACGCCGCTGTGTGTGGCCTGAGTCCCTCTTCGGTCCCCCTCCCCAGGCCCGCGGCGGCCCGGAGCGGACGCGGCCGCCGCTGTGTTTGACCTGGGTCCCTCCTCGGTCCCCCTCCCCAGGCCCGCGGCGGCCCGGAGTAGACGCTGGTTCCTCTCAGTCTGACCGTGGTTCCGCTCAGTCCGGCGGACCCGCATCTAGCCTCTAGTCCAAGCCGAGCTTCCACCGTCAGCCGTCTCGCCGGCCGGCCCGAGCAGCTCCGTCCGGAGCCTGTCTCGGAGCCGCCGCCCCCTGTCCCAGCCGGCTGACGCCACCCCCCTGTACACCGGCGGACTCTGGGCCTCCAACATACGGCTGGCGCTTTTGCCGGCGGCGGTGGCTGCAGAGCCGCGCGGGCCGAAACTGGAGAGCCAGATGCCATGCAGTGCATAGTTTGCTCCACAACCGGATGTGATGCGGTGCATGACATTGCGATTTGAAGCGCTTAGCAACGCTTGCGGCATTGAGCACTGCTGCAGTTTTGTGTGACTGTCACGAGGTGATGACAGGATGAATTCGCGTCGGTTTCCAGGCATTCTTTTTGCTGCTGATCAAATCGACAAGCATTCTGTTGCCGCTTTATTTTTCCACTGTGCTCCCCTCTCCGCCACTGTTTCCCTGCTTTGTCTCCCTTGCCGTTTGCGGTCGATTTGCGAAGCTTTGGACGGTGTCTGGCTGCAGCCGCAGCCTAGCAGCAGTCTAGTCTAGTCTAGTGCAGCAGTCTATGGTGCTCCGTCTGTGAGTTCTGTCGGCCGGCCCGCCACGCGCCTGTGCCCTTGGCCCTTGCGTGACACCGTCGCCCCGCCCCCCACCCTCTCTCCCCTCCTCTGTGTCACACCGCCCGGCGCGCCAGTGATGGGCTTCGTAAAGCAAAGCGACTGCTCGCGACGTTTGTAAATCACGCCGCGTAGACGTATTGTCCGCGAGACGTCACGCGATGTGTGTGCGCCAAGTTTTGGTGAAAAGGAGACTCGGTGAAACTGGGAGCGCGTGGTTCGCGCGAGAGACGCAGCGTTTTGACCAGCCAACGCGACGCATACGGCCCGGCCAGGCTGGGCTTTGCTCATCATTGGCTTGTTGCAACGTTGCACACCCTCTAAGGAGCACATGTATTCCACAAAACTACATAACTCCACTTGAAAACGCAAAGGTGCATCAGCAATGTCTTTCGAAGTTCCACATTTCCAAAGAAAGCTAGGGTGGCTGCTCTAGAAGACTGATCTGTAACCGTAGCGGGTAATGCAAGGTAAGCAAAGCTTCGAACATGCCAGGAAAGTTACCGGGATGAAGGATTATGTGAACCAGTTGCACACGGTGAGCAGTTATATTCTACACAGACAGGCAGCGATGACATGCATTGGACAATTTGTATGGTAGCCAGAATAAAAAAGAAGTTTTGTGAACAACGCCCATCCCACACATATCTACAAACCAATGTCAGTACCGTCAATCGGCGTTCAGTAACGATAAGCAGCGCATTATCCCTACTATGCAAAATGACTATGTAAATGCTCGTGTACACATGCACCTGGCAGTTCCGCTCAATTGCTTCGATTTGCAGATTGCTTTGATTTGTTATTAACATGACCTGCATCAAGCTGCAACGTCCGACGTGCGTTACTTTATTGAGAATTGCATGCAGGATGAGAATTGACGCCAGGACGTCCACGACTAGCTGGCCCTTACAATCTTACTTTTTTAATAAATTAGACACTTCCTTCCAACCTATGTGAATTCTGCAAAGTGCACAGATTTTATCAGCAATGACGCTCGACCCAGACACCTGGGATTTAATGTGACTGACTTTTGATCAGTCTTCTAAGTGGCACAATTATGCGTCGTATTCGCATGCAACTTATCACGGCGCATACATCTGTCATTTATTCTCGCTATGCTCACGATGGTGCAAGCTAGATTGGGAGCGCGACAAACATGGCGATAGCATCGTAAGAGTATATATAATCTTTGCGTATTTAGTGATGCATGCTCTGTTCCGACTGAAACCAATTACTTGGGTGCCAAAGACAATCGCACCATTATCTGTTTTTTGAGCTATAGCACCATGATATGTGATATCTGTGATGTCATCGAAAGTATTTGCATTCAAATGAAGGGAGGAGACATAAATTGCGACACGGACAGGGAGTCCATATGACTGTACCTTAAAATGAAACTTTCACGATCAGGCAGGCCAAGTTGCCTGTGGTTTAACACTGGCTCGGCGGTCTGAGACCCATATAGCTGATTTGAGGAATCATTGGAGGATGCGGCTTGCCGCGTGGGTGACGCCATGATGTGGTGATTGTGTTCGCGGTAGTGATGCTCGTGATGTTCTCATGACAAATGGCCGTTTTCCAATCCGTGGGTGCGGCAGTGCGTGGCCGCTAATAAACGTTTACTTCCTGAGGTCTTTTGCTGCTCTGGAGGAGAAATTCGTGGCTTTAAATATTCGTACACATATTCGCCAATAGTGAAAGGCACGTAGAACAACTAGTTAGTTTTACTTGGACCCGCATGTCCATTTGAGGCGCTGTCCCACAATCCGCGCGCACCTGCGTAACTTGCCCTTCAGCATTTGTTTTGGCTGATGTGAAATGATCACAGATGGGAGTAAAATTATGGGATTTCATGCCATAACATATGATTGATATGGCTTTGGCGTGAAATTCGTCGTTCGCTCAATTGTGACCCATGTGCCGAGATATACCCTTGCCGGCGAAGACCGGATCAGAGCGGCGATGTGGCCGCCTCTTAAAGGGGAACTAAAAGGAGTCTGACTGGGGATAGGTCGTCTGCCGGCTGGGCTGGCTCCGCGCAAACGGTGGCGCCGGTGGTCCGCACGGCCATACTCCGCAAACGGAGCTGGGCGGCCGGTAGCGGCCTCTTTGTATCAAGCTGTCCACAGTGGAAGTTGTTGAAGCGAGCGAAGCGCGTGCTGCGCCCTGCTCGCCGCCCTGAGAGCCGTCTCAACTTGGGACGCCGTGAGTCGGACGGCGGGGCCGGCCAGGCGGCGGAGCAGGGCCGGCCAGCAGCCGACCGGCGCGGCGCGGCGCGCCGCTGTCTGCCGCCGCTCCCCTCCCCTCCCCCGCACAGGTGCGCGTGGTAGCCGGCTGCCAGCGACAGCGGCGCTAGTGCCGGGTGTGGCAGGTCTGCGGGGCAGCGGTCCGGGCCGGCCAGGCGGTCGCTGGCGGCCCGAGGCTGGCCCGCCGGGCAGCGGGCGGGCCGGAGCGCTGGCGTCGGCGACCCTTGGAAAGCCGACCGCCGGGTCACCGGCCAGGGTTGCCCAAGGCGGCGGTTACCTCCCCCCGTAAGTGCTACCGGTCCGTACCGGGAGGAGCGGGCCGGCGGCAACTCAGCGCTCCGACCGTGAGCAGGTGACTCACCGCCGCGACAGGCAGCGGCGCGCCCGGTCAGGCGGTCGCCGCACGTGTCAGTGGCGGCGCGCAGCTGCGCACCGCGCCGGCCGGTGCTGCCGTGCCGCCGGTGCAGGCGGGCCCCGTGCCGCCCGCCGCCCGCCGCCCGGCGCCCGGCGCCCGCCCGAACACCGGCCGCTGCTGATCGAACCGTGATAGATGGGGTGTTGGCTGCGGAGCTGAGCCGCTCGATTCCCCGCGTCAAAACAATACACGGAGGCGTGAGGAGAAATGTGTCCGATACCTATTCGTTTTCCTGCGGCTGGTGGACACGTGCGCGATGCGTTTGTCTGACGGCGGGAGCCCGGTCCAGTGGCTAGGACATTAAGTGTCGCTCTTTATCTGACAAGCAGACACGAATAGTACATCGACCGCCGTCTGCACGTAATTTATAGTGTTTTTGCTCGCCAGCTGTTGTCGCATCTGTCAAATTTAAAAGCCTGTGGTGATTGGTGCGTGCTCAGTATGCGCGGAACCGTGTTCAGTATACGTGGAACCGCCTCCAGCTGTTAGCTTATCCACCTCTTACGGCCGGACGTTACTGATGCATCACTTCGACACGAATTTTAAAAAGTTCATCGCTGAATTGTTTGACAGCTGCATGCCAAGATGACTGAAATGTTTCCCTTCTGCGCGGCCTGCGCTAAAATTGGTCGCGTCGACCCAGCCGTACAGTCCCACGATTCGTCAGTATCGCGCATGGCCAGCCTGACCCAGGCCGACCTTGGCAGCTGGGAATGCGCAGTGCTGGTCCGAACGAACGGATATTTATTTGACGAACCAGCCAAGTCCCCCCCCCCCCCATCCTCATATGTGGGTTGATCATGCGTGGCTGACGTGGAGCATGACTCACTCGGCCCTCCTCTCGCCAGACGTCCGTTGGGCCGGCCCTAGCTTCAGACTGAGCAGCATACTTGTCTGGCAATGGGTGGAGGACGGGGGCGGATCGTCTGCAATGCACGTCAGACGTTTCGAAGGAGTATAACTAGAACTAACAGTGATGCTAGTGCAGTTGTCGTGCCAGATATCATGTTAGTAAGATACGGGAAAAGTATTTTTCGCAAGGGAGCAGCAATACAAGCTTTACGTTAGGCATGGTGCAGCCAACTGGCATCATTTTGAGTGTTTGGCCGAAAGAGCCAATAGGAAGATGGCCAAAAAGGCCAAAAGGAAGGTGGCGCCCCGAGCCGCTGAGTCAAGAGACCAGGGGCGTCTCTCAGTCAAGTCTCCCGGTCTCTCAGTCAAGAGACCGGGGGCGCCCCCATGCTCAGTTGGCTGCTCTGCGACACTGCAGCTCCCCTTGGTTGGCACTGGGTGCTCTGAAGGCAGTGCGGCACCGTTGTGTCCGGCACTACGCACCTGTGGGAAACCGTGGTGTCCCATGACAGGCAGGCAGTGCCCATCAAACGCTGTGGCGCCTTTTTGATGAGAATTGAATGACCCTGAAATCCTGCATCGCCCTGGCAATCGGAGTTGGACCCTTCTGAAATCCTGCG